TAATGAATATCAGGATGTAATCTGGATAGATATGAACATTCACTGAATTAAATCCAAACAGCCTCTGGACCAACTTTTTTTAATCCTATTTTCTAAATTAACTCATTGACTTCCTATGCTTGAGAAGCTGATTAACTGCTGGGGGGAGACAATATAGGAAACATTTTTATTGCCGCAACTCAGCATTTTCTGTTACCAGCAAAGCTCACTAACCCACCCCTTTATGCAGTTGCTCAGGAGCCCCGAGGTAATAAAGCCAGTGCTCTCTCCATTTCCCACTGTTCCCAAAATGTGCACTGAAAGGCCGTACCCTCCCCCATTTGTTAACGAGCCCCAGGAGACAGCAGGTTTTCCAAATGGCATGGTGGCCTGCCCCTGGCCAGAGAAGAACCAAGGGACGAGGGAATCGGCAAAGGTAGACAGAGAAGTTTTTTAAAAAAAAGCCTGATGACAGTGGTCGGGGGGTGGTCTATGGTTCTGGAGGCCCCTTTCTTTCTCTCTCCAGCAGCAACGGACCAGCCTCCTCCAAGGACTGTGCTCCCTGTAGGTGAGAGGGTTGTCATATCTGGACAGCCATTTGTCCTCTGCAAACTGGCTTCGAGGTCCCTTCACCATAGGCGGTGGCAGGGGGAGGGGCTGCCGGAGCTAAGCGTGACCCCACTGCTTGCCTCCTGCACCAGGGTGGGTGTGATGTAGGCTGTCATCATCAAAAGACAGGGCCAAACGCCTGGGCGAGGAGGGTCGGAAGGGTTGTGACTGAGCCTCAGGGAACACAATCCCAAAGCCCCTCCCCAGGGTGCATTTCCTCCTGATATATCCACATCAATCAACCAGTTGCAATGTCTAGGCCTTTTATCAACGTCAGCTGGACAATTCAAAAAATAAAATAAACAGCATAAAATAAACAGTGACATGTGAGCCGTGACTGAATATTTTCTACTATGAAACCACCATTCACCGTTTTAAGTGTGATAATGGCAGTGCGGTTCCTCTGTAAAGGAGCGTAATGTTTTGAGACACACAGTAAGATGTTTACAAATGAAAACTTCATACCAACCCTTCTCCCTCCCCGCTTCCAGGGTGCCTACGAGTCTGGACAGATCTGGCGGGACTGCCCCTGTCTACACCGGACGGTCTGCACCGCTGTGACTGGGCAGGAGAGCCAGGATCGGGTGCAGCTGGCCGGGCACTGCAACAAAGGCCTTCTTCCAGGCTCCAAGACTGGATTTCCGCTCGGGGCTTGCCCGGAGGGGTCGGAAGTGATCCCTAACCACCTCACACTGCTCTGGAAATAGAAACTAAATTCCGTTCCTGGGATGAGGTTTCTTTTCTCCTTAAAGAAAATCAGGTTTTCCAGCTTTGGGGGATGGCAAAAGGGAGTAATTGCAGGGTTCCGGCAAGCACAGAGACCCAGATGGCGCATGTGGTCGGCAGCAAGGAGATTAGCGGATGAAAGGGGGATAGTATTACCTGCTGGGGTTCTTTCTTCTCACCACGGGTCACGAACCCATTACTTACCATTTAAAAGCCCAGCCGGAGAGGATCCTATGAATAAATATAAGCCCAGAATCGGCTCCCCGAATTTCAGAGGGATGCCCGGCCTCTTTTTTCAGAGATGGCAGGGAAATTCAAGCTCTTAAGGAACCCGGAGCAGAACGGCTTTGGACAGCCCCCAGGGCAGACCCACAAAGGTGAGGAGTGGGGGGTGGGGAACAGGACCTGCCAGGCGGGGTTTGGCTTCAAGTGACAGTCTCCCATCCTGAGCTCCAGGAGAATTAGTGGGAAGAAAATTAATCTTTCAGAGTTCCACGTCTAACATCCAATCATGTAAAGCTTTTGGGGTCCACTTCCTTTTCTGGTTCGGAAATGTTTTAATTTAGGATGTACTGTTTCAGACGTATCCCAAAAAAGTGGGTAAATGATACACAGCCAAGTTAAAGCCCTATTCCTTTCCTCAGACCCTCTCCAGTGGTCCCAATCCCAGATTTATATTAATTTAGTATTCTCATAACTAGCTTTATGCTCTCACCACATATGTATTGATCCTAAAGCAACACAGGAGATTCACTCTGCAGAGATGTAACCTTTCCATAAGCAGTTAAATGTCTCCAGGCCATTTGTGTCCAGCAAGTGGCTTTTCCTGCTGAAGCTCTGTTGTGAACACCATCCATGCTTTGACCATCAGCAAACATATGGCAACTGTTCTCCAGAGTTCTCCTTGAGTGGACATCTAGGTCACTGGTCGTTTTTGCACATACCAAACAGAGCCGCTACAAGCACGCACTGGGATCTTTCTACCCTGTGTGTTGGTCTCTATGGGACATGCCTTGCAGTGGAGCTCTGCAGAGACAGGCACCACAGCGCTGTTCCACATGGGGCCAGGTTGCCAATAACATGGGGTACCAACCTCAACTCCCTCCTCTCCCAACAGCAGCACGTTTTTGCCAGCACTTGGAATTGTCAGACTTCTAAATTCTGTGACCATGATTAGGGCAAAGTGGTACCCCCTGGTGATTTGAACTTGCATTTCCTGGCTCATGAGTCTTTCCAAGGTTTCCTCTCAGGGGACCTGCCTGTCATATTTTCAGTTCCATTTATTTACACAGAGGGGAAGGTGGATATTCACATAGATGTGAAGGTACAAACAATGGGCCACAAACCACACTGACCTCCAGGAGAAACAATCCCACAGTTACATGCACTGCATGGGATCCCCTCTGAACGCTGTGGGGGCTGCAGTGCTCTGGACCAAGTCTGCTCCTTGATTTACTCATATGCAGGCAGTCCACCAGGTGCCTTGGTGGGGGTTCCTCCCACTTTTTAACATTTATGGCTCTGCCCATTTTTCTTTGCTGTCTAATTGGTTCCAAATTAATTCCTCAGAAAAAAATGATGAGAGAGTACCTCTGTTCGGAACAGAGGCCAGGCAATAAAGAGATGGGGGGCTCGGATGCCTTGTTCCTCCATGCCCAGCCAACAGAGCACTAAATCTTGGTGGCTCTCTGGTGAGGCTCATGCCTGCCACTGTGCAGCAGCTGGCCTGCAGAGCTGAAGCTGCCGGTCGCAGGCCCACCCCCAGCCCTCAGGGGCCCCAAACTACAGCTGGGCCACTGCACACATCAGGCCCACAGACACACTGCGAGGACTCATCTCAAATCTGTCAGGAAAGTCACCCCACAGCCCTGAAATATCCCAATGTGCCTGGAGTTCTCCAGGTCCAGAGGCCTACTGGGCCCAGGACCTGCTGTCCCTGCCTCTGAGGATCTGGACAAGTCCCCCACCCTCCACGATGCCTCCTGGCCAGTGCACTGGCTACACCAGGAGACATCTCCAGTTCCTTCCAGTAACAAAATCAATGGTGGGCTTATTAAACTCACCAGACTCAGAAACAGCAGAGAACATGTAGATTCCCAAAAACCAGGCCCAGAGAGACCAGCTTCAAAAAGGGTGACTCAAAAATGTTTCGAGGTCCAAAAACTTAACACTCAGCTTTAAAGTTCACATTTATGCACTTCACCTCTTCAAGGGGCCAGCAGGGTGAGAAATGAAGGGTCTTACGGCTAACCTACACAGCACAGACTTGGAGGCGCTCGGCTGGGGCCCGAGGACACTGGGTTGTCGGGAGTCACCAGGGCTCCAGGGCCCCCAGCCAGCCCCCCACAGCAGGGCAGAAGGGCTTTGCTGGCTACCTCCCCACACTAGCATGTGAGCAGTGAGAGTCCAGCGTGGGTCAGAGGTGTTCTCCCAGACTGTTCTTTTCTTAAAAATAGAAACAACCTTTTCTCCTCAATTTCCTGGAAGAAAAGACTGAAGAAAAAATCAGAGGCAAGAGAGCAATTCAAAGGCCATCTCTGGGGACTCCAAAAGGCTAGGCAAGGACATGCCTGTGAGCAGACATTCGCCCCCCCAGGGAGCTGTACTCAGCCTCAAGCAGGGACACTCGAACCAAGCTTCTGGAAACTTCTAGGAATCTCAGGCAGCCTGTGCTTTGGGACAGTGGTGCCACTCCTCTCCTCCATCCGTGTGTCCGCCATCCCAGCCTCTCTGGTGACAGCAGCAGCATCCATTTCCCATGACCCCAGACAGAGGAGGCCAAATGCTCCAGGTACTCAGATACTGTCTGGGGTCCACAGGGACCCCTGTGTGCGCACACAGAGATGTGCCCTCCGCGAATCCAGAGGTTTTTGGACTGACTTGTAACCACAGTGTAGGCCACACAACTGGAATTCAAAGGGCCAAAAAGGTGCCACATAAAACTAATTTTGTTTGAAGACCCAGGTTCACACCCACTGAGCCTACTAATGGCTCTTTCAGCAGAAAAAGGACCCCTCTACCCAAAGAGCCATTTTTCTTGCATGTTTTGGAATAAACATAACAGCTGTACTCCTGACACATGTGGTTTAAAATGAGGATTGGCAAGGAAGAGCTGACTCTAGTCATGAATGTGACCTGGAAGGAACATGGTGGATTTTGTTGCTTCTCAAACAAAGCTCACCCCTCCCAGCGCCATGCAGACCCCCGACCAGCCCCTCAGCCTGGCCTCCTTCTCCAGAACAGGAAACCACTGCATCAGATTTCAAAGTGAAAAATCTTCTTAGGAAAACAGGAGTAGAAATCACTTGAAGATATCGTCACTATGGAATGATAATATTTCACATAAAAAATGCAAGAACCTCCCACATAGCTTTTTTTTTTTTGTATTCACTGAGAAGTCTTCCCAGACCAAGATTATAAAAAGTGCACTTCTTTATATTTCAGCTCAGTGTTCCATCTGAAACGCTTGTTTGGGAACAGGGAGGCGGAGCTCTTCTTCCTCAGGGATACCCAACATTCTGCACCGGCATCAAGTTCAATGCTCATGCAGACGAGGCTACCTTCTGGAACCCTTTCCATCCTCTCCTTCAGCCAAGTGCTGGTTTGCTGGCACTGGCAACAAGGTACTACAGCCCGGGTGCTTAAACAACAGACATTTATTTTCTCACAGTCCTGGAGCCCAGAAGTCCGAGATCAAGGTGCTGGCAGGGCTGGTTCCTCCGGAGGCCCTTCCTTGCTGTGTGGACGCCGTCTCCTCCCTGTATCCTCACGTGGGCTTCCCTCTGTGCTGACTGTGTCCTGATTGCCTCTTCCTATAAGGACACCAGTCATAATGCATTAGGGCCCACCCTCCTGACCTCATTTAACCTTAATAATCTCTTTGAAGACCTTATCTCCAAATGCAGTCACATTCTGAGGCCAACATAATGAATTTGGGCAGGAGATACACAGTTCAGCCCATGGCAGTTGTCTATTCCTACTGCAATACCATACAATGCCAATTACTAGAGCCTCAGACCACATTTTGATATCTCAACTTTTACTGCCATTGTCAAAACGGTCTTGACTGCTTTTCAGTTTTGCTCTTCTGCATGAATTTTAGCATCAGCTCATTGAGTTTGATGAAAAAGCCTTTTGGGAGTTTGATTAACAATACACTGTATTTATAGATTATCTGTTAGAGAACTGATATTTGAAAAAAACTGAGTCTTCCTAGATAATAACACTTTCTCCATTCATTTGGGTCTCCATCTGGGGTCTATTGGTAAAGTTTATGGTTTTCTTCTCATGGATTTGCACATTTCTTAGGAGACTTATTCCTAGGTGTTTTACAGTTTCAGGTTTTGTTCTAACAGGTTACTCCTGACGGCTCAGGAAGCTGGGGGTGCTTTCTATATTAACTCGTAGCCAATAATCTTGCAAATGCTCACCTTAGCTTTAATACTTGTGGGTTGATTCTCTTGAATTTTCCAGAGCAACATTTATATAACCTACAAATACTGACAGTTTGTGTCAGCTCTCCTAATGGTCACGTTGTAAGGGACTTCTGAATGGCGCTGGACAGGAACATTGACAGCGGCCATCTGTATCATGTTACTGACTTTCTGATATTTTACCTGAAATGTAACAACCACTGTAGGTTTCCAAAAGTTCCTTTCATTGAGTTAACTAAGCCCACCCTGCTAGCTTTTTCATCAGCAAAAAATTCCAAAATGTAGCAGAAGCACTCAGAGCATCCACTGAGATTATTTTTCCCTCTAATATGCTAACAAGGATTTTTTAAATGCTGAATCATCCTATTAGTCCTAAGATACACCTTTTTTATTATTGTTCTTTGAACACATTGTCAGCTCTTATTTGCTAAATTCTGCATTGGATTTTTGCATCTGCATTTTCAAGCAATCAGAAGGCATCTACATTCAGTGTACTTCCACCACTGCAAAATAAATTTCCACAAATTTAAAGGCTTAAAATAGCACTCAATGATTAGCTTACAGTTCTGCAGATGAGAAGCCCAGGCTCGGCGCTCATGCTCTCAGCTCAGGGTCTCACAAAGCTAAAATCAAGGTGTCAGCAAGGCTCTGCTCCTGTCTCACTTAGGTTGTTGTCTAAATCCAGTTCCTTATGCCTACAGGACTGAGGCCCCCTTACCTTGCTGGCTGTCATCTGGGAGGCTGCTCTCAGCTTCTAGAAGCTGCCCACATTCCTAGCCACATTGATCCCTCCGCTTTGAAAGCCAGCAACACACGTCAAGGCCCTCTCACAGTGGACTCCTGACTTCTAGGCCTGGATGGGTCTCATGTGACATGACCAGACCAGCCAGATCATCTCCCTTTCTTAAAACTCAACTGTGCCACGTAACATAACCTAAAGACAAAAGGGAAATGCATCATAAACAAGGCTGGGAAGTGGGCAGGAAGCTGGGGCACCTTAGCATCCTGCCCACCACTGAAAGGAAGCAGAATGGCCCAGCCCCGAGGCTAGACACCCGGCACTAAGCACCATCTTCTGACACTCTGGCTCGACTCTGGGCAGGCTGTTCTTAACATAAAACCAGATCAGAACATTCCTCTGCTCAAAGCCTTCCAAAACTTCCTAGCACATGCAGAGTAAAGTCTAACTCCCTACTGTGGCTTGGAAAGCTCCCCCAGCACCCCTCCCCTCCACACTGAGGCTCTGTGCTGCAGCCCAGCATTTCCAAGCTTATTCCAGCCTCAGGGCCTCGGCAACCAGCCTTTCTCTCCACCACAGAAGTTCTTCCACAGATCCAATGTTTCTGTCCCTCATTTCCTACCTCCATTTGCACAATGTGCCTCAGGCTCACTTGATCTCCACTGACGTCATAACACAGGTTTCCCCTCGCTATCCAAAAGTAATGTGTGCCTATGAAACTTTTCATAAGCCAAAATGGCATAAAGCAAAGAGATAATTACCACTAATTTAATGGAAAAAATGCTAGTATTCCCAGACTCCAAAAAATATCCTCTCTTAGGCTTTCCTGGTACCTTAGGACACATCTTGGGAATGGATACACGGAATAAATCGAGATGAAGCACAGATGATCGCAGACACAGCTCCAAGCTCCAGGGCTGGGTGCTGAGATTCTGAGTGTAGTTCCCCAGGAGCTGCGCAGGCCCCTCTCGCTGCCTCTCTAACTGCTCACTGCAAAGCCGACACTGAATGCTTCCACCTTTTTTTCTAGAAGAGAAAATCCTCTTCAGATTTCTTTTGGTTAGTGAAAACAGGTACTAATGCAGATCTTTTGTAAAAACAAAGTGGTGTACAGGGCATAAATCTGCAAAGAAGTAAAAAGCTAACCTTTTCAAACAATATGGCTTCTCTCTCACTTACCAACTTTACATCTCCCTGTATGGCCCCAGAAGATGACTGGTTAGCCAGAGACGGGTAAGATTCCTCAAGGGAGGAACAACCTAAGACAGGCACAGTCGCAGGGGGGCCATCAGGCGAGAAATTGGGGATCAACAGTGGTGAAGCTTAGAACCTCACCCCTCCTGTTTTGAGAGAAATCTTCTGCATCCGTGGATGTTTTATTGCCCTTGTCTAGCTTGGATTAACACATAGTCCACAGGCACACATCTGATCATCTACATTTGCTCTCTTACAACACTAAACTATGTTTTCTACCTTTATCTT